AATTATACAATTTTCCAAAACTTACCCTTTGCCAGGAGACTATAGTTTGTTTATAGGTTTATTTTCATACTAAATTCTAGTCTTTTCCAAAATTTACTCCTTGCCAGGAGACTATAGTTTGTTTATAGGTTTATTTTCATACTAAATTCTACTCTTTTTCAAATCTTACCCCTTGTTTTATACAAATGTATCTCAAAAGGCTGAAAATTAAGTTTAAGTCAATAGTTTCTTCATCTATGTCCCACAGGGTTTTTATTGTTTGTGAAGAATAACTGCACAAATGAAAAAATATATAAATTAAGCACACACACACACACAAAAAAATATTACCTGCAGAAAAACACATTCAGAAATATATACAAAGCTATTTTTTCACATTGAAAGAAATGTAAACAAACTGGATGTTACATATTAAAGTTCCTTTTAGATTTAATTAAACAGATGTAGCACATTTTATACAATAATTTTCCTTAATACTGTATTTATATAATTATCAAATTGCTGATAATTAAACTTGAACACAAACATTAATTCTAACAGTGATAATTAATAATACATTTGACTTACTATGCCATTCATAAGACTTACTTCGACATGAGTAATGATTATAATAGTCATAAATTTCACTCTGCCATAACTAGTTTAGAATACATCTTTATCCAAATATGTTCAGATAAATTTTTCTAAATTATCTTGCAGGTGTTCTGCATTTAGTATGACATTTTTGTTACCCAAATGTTGAAAGGTTGCGAAGATGTAATAATCCTTTTACTCAGGTAAAGTTGTATACACCAATGGGATGTGGTATTCAGGTCCACTGATACCTGACAGATAAATTCAGAAGTCTGTGGAAATATGCAGGTAATAATTTCAAACTTGGTAATGAAACACATAAGTACAGTTGAACAAATAAACAAAATTTTATTCTCAATTTTTTTTCTGGCTTTGCTGGGGGTTGGGGGTAGTCTTTCTTTGAAATGTCTACACTGAACAAAGGGAATTCTATATATGTCTACACAAGTTATAGACAAAAATACAAACACCATTCATAGGGGACCCCCCCCCCCCAACTCATTCCAAATCCTAAAACTACCTGAGCCATCCCTTGAAATTGGCTCGATCCTCCACAGGGGGATTAGACTCATGACCAAAGTGATATGAATTTGAAATTCAGAGCATAAGTTCATCATCCTGCACTACCACATGTGCAGGATGATGAACTTATGCTCTGAATACCACATGTGCAGGATGATGAACTTATGCTCAAAAAAATAGGCAAAGACTTTACACTTCTTGAATTATTTAAACATCAGATACTAAACTACTGGGAAGCACTTTACATA